TAGTATCAAGTGATTTACATAGGATTTGCCTAAATAGTAAAAGGTGTAACTTACATGGGATACAAGTGTTAGTTATCTTCAAATGTATGTGTAACTCCAGAAGTTTTGAAGGGAGATTATCTACAGGTTTGGTCTCACTGTAGATAGACTATGATATGGTAAGTGAGTCATGAGTCCTATCCACGTTGTATCTGTTTAACGTAGAACTCGACGTGGTTCAACCAGAGTGCTACCAAGAGGGTTGCTGAAGGGAGGCTACCAAAGCCAACTAAGGGCAATCTAGATCTAGTCTAGAATTTCTTTCTAGGAACTGTCCAACTATAGCCTAAGAGTAGGATTGTCCAACTATAGCCTGAGAGTAGGAGTGTCCAACTATAGCCTGAGACTAGGACCCTATAACGATGTTCGTATAAAAAAACAAATCGAGCCCCAAATATTAGAAATAATCTTACCTCAAATTGAGGGATACTCTAGACCAAAGGTGAAGTCTTAAACTTCCAAATGCTGCTCGGAACAGTCCTATTAAAAAAAATGGAACACGTGTTGTAGGTTAATATTTCCTGAAGAAAATCTCAAACTTACCGAAACAGAATCCAAAAATGACCAAGGGACGACTCTAGACAATTATCGGCAAGAAATTAGTCTACTTGAGCTCCCTGGCACAAAATTCCAAAAAGTCTCGCCCCAAAAATAATTAGGGCCGAGGCCCGAGACCGGACGACTACTAAGCGTGAGGTCGCAGATCAAAAAGGCAGATTCTTCATTTCGAATTTAGATTTCGGAAGAAGACTTTCATCTGTCAAACTTCTAATTTTGACATTGAAGAAAATTATAGAAAAGGACGTGTTCAGTTTCACCCCAAAAGTACGAACTGAGAATCGGTTGTGTAAAAAATGACTGGTGAATGTTGAAAAGTGCCTATATAACATATATCAAAAGGTAGAACAGGTCTAAAGAAAACGCCTAGACAAAACAGCTGTTCAATGACATGATGGAAATGAAAAGTCAAAGAGTACAAAAAAACAACAATTATTATCATAACCTCAGATTATTGATTGGATTTGAAAACAGAGATAGTGATGGTACTAACTGCTTTTCCTAAGATTCTAATCAATAACAGCGAGCCCTGCCGTACTGAATCAAACCTTCCTAGATCAATTAACCAAACTTGCAAACCTGAACCAAAAAAACTTCTAGTAGAAGGCAGTACTCAAGGTAACAAAATCTGGGCACAGAAAAGATAGTTGTTTATTCATTTATTTCATTGTAGTTCTATATGGAATCATATCTACTAAAGCAAAACAAGGTAGCTTATTAGCCAAGAAATTGAAAACGTTACAACCTGTCTACCTACATGATTTATCCCGCGACTCATTTATAATTAATTAACGGAAAAAAAAAATCGACAAGGATTGACCATTCCAGTACAGATGAGATGACTTTATTATGACAATTTGCTCTGGGGGGCACACATAATCAAATAATATAACCAAAAATTACAATTTTGGCATTTTCCGATAAGTTTTTAACCTAGGAAACTTCAAAATTTACAAAAAAAATATCGGTTTTCCCTCAGCCTGAGGAATACTGGAATGGTCAATTGTTTGTACCTCTGTGGAAAACGAAACGACGAAATATCAGCTTGTAAATCAAGTATCGAAATGGCTGAATTTTGTAAAAAAATAGCCAGGTTTTTCGAATAAATATTCCTAATTCTAAACAGCCAATAATTTTCCACTTACTGGATTCATTAGTCTGCTATTAACAGGGGCAGCTAAAAATTCACGATTCACAAGTCACAGCATGCAAGCAAGCACTACGCACTCACGGGCACATTGTAGACCGGCTATCAACAACGACTAACAAAAATGGATCGCAATCGATGAAGATGAAGGCGATCGGCACGACGCGTGCGTGGTTCATCCACAGGCAGCACCTGATTGGTTGCCGGTCTGTGCTTTCAGCACTCCATGTTGGTTACATAAGCGCGGGAAATATACAATTTTTGAATTTTTATCAATTATTGCTCCCTTTTCTTTCAAATGAAAACTGAATGGGACATAAAATCACTAGAAAAAAAGGCACATCGAGTTATTATTCAGTGTAGGTAACATATTTTCCAGAACAAATGAAAATTCCGATGGGGTTTTAAAAATACTCATAGGATATAGGATAGGTTGGCATGGCAATGGCGATGGCAACTGACAAATAAAAGAAAAGTATTTCGGTCTGAGGTGAAGGGGGAGGAAAAAACGATATGGAAATACACAGTTACGATGGAATAGAGCGTGATAGAAATATTAGTTCGCATGTTTGCCGCCTTCCTTTGAATTTTCATTTGCCGCTGGTCGCTCCTATACTTTGATTATACAAATATGATAAACTATAAACTATTTCATGCCCGGATTTTCAGTAAACTTCTGACAGGAATATAATACATGGTATACTGCCTCAGTTAGTTAATCATAACGGGATTATTTATCCCTTATCGTGAGTAAAATGTAAAAGAATGTTGTGTATGGCCATATAATATAACAGGTATAATAAACAAGTATATATTTATACTATTATATACCCATAATGTACCCTACTTCTCTGTCTACCATAGACATCTATTTTTATTGGATGTAATACGTCTATTAAATACTTTTAAAAAATCATGATGTTGAAAAATGAGCCTTTCGTCAAATTTAACAAAATAGTCACATTGTTTATTAACAATTAACTGCTAATTTTCGTGACAGCATATCAAGTTTTCTCAAATCTACACTTGCTGGTAATAAAGTAGTACATGATATATGTTTATTTGAGGTCTACAAATTATACGTTGACGATAAATCATTTGTAAACGTTTAATAAATATACCAAAACTAAAATATTACCTAAAAATGGTTGATTATACTTATATTATACAATTAATCAAATTTATGTGTTGCTTGGGTAGTTTTTGTTAACGATGGTTTTCTCTATGAACATTTGTTGAACTTCTGCATCGGTTATCATAGATGCCTAAATAATGTAATTTGACTAGTATTTATTATTTGGCGTTAGCGCAAATGTTTCAGGAAAATGTTGTGACGATATCTGTTTTAATTCACTGAGTATTGGATGATAATAATTATCGGATATTTCCGGGTTATCGCTAAAAATAGTTCGAATTTTGCGTAGATGTTTTCTTTTCTTGTTTTTTTTTTTTAAAAAAAAATTTGCACAAACACCTGACGGTTCCGCAACAAAATTTAAGATTTTCCTCCCATTTGATTCGTCTCAATAAAGTGCTAAAAATTTGTATTGGTCATAAAATGCATTTATTGTCATTTAGTTACAGATATGCGAATCCCCTTTCCGACTCGGATCAATAGAAAAAACTTCAGGCGATCCTTAAAGCTAAAAAGTGGCAAACTTGTTGTTGTTGCGGCTGTACTAAACTTTTCACCTAATAGCGGGTAATTAATTTAGAATTCTATCTGTATCATTCTCTACAGGCTAAAAATACAAAAAATGTCAGTTTCAAACAATAACTGAAAGAATTCTAATAAAGACAAAATCAAACACGAAAATCTCAAAGAATGTAATGTTTTATATCAAAGTCACTGTCACACATTAACGCCATCCATACTCAAAAATGACAATTTGGGTTTGCAATAAAAAAAAAAATTGTAATCGGATTATTGTTACCCATTTCCTAATTTTACGAATCCGATCCATATAAATCATAAATAATCCCGATTCATAGGTCGCCAATTTTGCACATTGCTTATCTCCTGCGTTTTTGTTCGTCTATATCCTTTTCAATCAAAGTCTATTACTCAATTTACTTTCTCTATTTCTGATTGGTAATTTGATAAGGAACTTCTTTTACGGTGAAGCTGAACAGAGTTTATTGCATAAAATTTTACTGCCGTTTCATACTCGGTTATAAAATATGCATTTTTCTTCTAAAAACAAATCTATAAATTCTTTATTTATTTCCGTGACATATAGTTGCCGTTTGAATTTATTATTAGAACAAAGTGCTTGAAAAAAAAATAAATGGATCGGTAATATTTTTTTAACGCGAATAAAATCGAACAATTTATGTAAACCTCCTAAAGTGGATTGGTCTTAAACCCAAGAACGGTCATTCTAGAACTATAAAATGGACAATAATTCTGGAAGTATTATCCAGTTCCTCATCTATAAAAATTTAAAGGTTTTTGAGAATGGTATTAATTTTTTTCCTCATAAGTCATTTTTATACCCTAAATAAAATTTTAATAAAAACAGCATTAGTCAATGGCTAATACCTAGTTAGCGGTGCAATATAAAACCTAATTTTAAGTTTGCTTCTTCTATTTCCGATTTTTATGATTCAGATATGATTCTCACTTTTGTATGATATAAAAACGGATTTATGAGAGAAATATGTTGTATTAACAATTCTAGCCAACTTAGACTTCTAATGTGTGTGTGGAAATTATTTCAATGAGAACATTAACTCGTTCTTGCATTCAAAATATTTATTCAAAAACAAAATTTAACTAAATGTCAGTAGCATCCGTCACTAATAGCTCGTCAAAATTCAAAATAAAATTGCAAAAATATAAAAGTTATTTTAGTGAAGTTAAATTAAACACTATATGCTGGAAGGGAAAAAGTTTTGCGGGATAAACTAAGAGGGGCAATATTAAAATGCGAATCTTTTTCAATTTCGAAAGTTCGACCGACGGTAAGTTAAGTGCTTTCCGGTTTTTCTCTATTTCTAACAATTCCGAAACTTCCAAAACAACTAACTTATTGATAAGAAATTCGAAGCATAAATAAAGAATAGCTGTAATAGATTGTTCGTTTATGTTAAAATCGAATAATCTTATGAATTTTAAAAGGGGGCATATTTCTTTAGTCTAAAGAGAAATACTTATAGTTAACATTCTTTGTATCAAAACATTACTTTGACTTTCTTAACATCCTTGTTGATATTCTATCTTTTGCCGATTAATTTTTTTTTTTTCGTTTTTCTTTTACAGGTTGCTTGGATGCACTTCGAACAATCCGCGATATTAACAGTTCATAATCACGTAATAACGCGCAATCCCAGAATAAGTGTATCCCACGACAAGCACAGGACCTGGTTTCTTCACATAAGTAACGTCCAAGAGGAGGACAAAGGACGATATATGTGTCAAATTAACACTGTTACTGCTAAAACGCAATTTGGATACTTGCATGTGGTCGGTAAGTAGTTTTCCATAACATGACGACCTAGATAAAGTGTGTTAGGCATGCTAATTAGAAACATAGATAATTCATATCAATTTGTTACTCATTTTATTTCTGTCTAAATTGCTTTATCTAGTTCCTGAAAATCATTATCGTTATTTTTATCGTGCGACGGCAATATCACCCGAACGCGCCCCTCACACATTTGGACTTTTGGACCGGGCCAATTGTTCGAAATACAATGGGGATAAAGATCCTCCTCGACACGTCTTTAAGCTTTTTTTTACACCCATTTTAGGATGTCCGTTTTCCTATAATTGATTGTGGTTATGTGGTCGCTATCTTTTAGCTTTTTATAACTATTATTGGTAAAAAGCTTTATTTCGTTTCGTGGTTGAAACGAGTTAGTTGAAATAGTGGTTTCATCAACGTTTATTGAAATGAAAACATTTCTGAATATGAATAATCAGTTAAAGTAAAAATAGGTTTTTTGGCAAAATCCAGATGCAAAATGACCTCAGCCCTTGCCCGTAAGGTGAACTAAAAGAAACCTTGGCTATACCTAAGAAAACATTAATGATAATTAACCGTTTTGTTTGCAAATTTGTTTTGGATATAAGCCTAATCTGTGATGGGATTTTGTAACCGCGAAGTGCCACCGATAAGATTCTCAAGTTACACATAACAGCAACTTTTGTTGATCTGAATTTTCTTTTTCCGGTTGGTGCTATATCAATTTTAACAAAGTAAAGACACTTCCGGGAAGACTCATTCTCAAAAACTAAGTAGAGAGATTCATATGTAAATTATGAAGATCTTGGTCAAAAGACTGAAAAAAATTAAACAGTAAGCTCACGTAAATCTCAATAAAAACCAGGTGCACACAATCACTGTTCATACACTCATAAAATAGTAAGTTGTTGAGATCAAAAAATTGAAACAAGAAATTCACGAGCCAAAAATGTCGATATTTTTCTTAAAATATACTTCAGTCATGATTTTTGGGGCTTTTTTGCCTTTGAATTTTCAAGAAGAATAAATTATTCTGTTGTTCTTGGGCATATTTGGACCAATGAAACCAAGTAGTTTTGTTCGTCTCGAATGTCTCGTAACTTGTGAATGCTTTTATATTTTTAATTTTTTTTTATCATCTTTGTTGTTTTATATGAATGTTTGTTGTTTTGAGATAATTTAATTCTTCAAAATATTTCAATTATCTGAAAATTATTTATTTATTATTGCTAAATTTGTCCTGATTCGATTGGTTACAGCCTGAAGAAGAATATACATTTTTCGAAACGTAGCTTAAAAAACAAAACCACTTGGTTTCATTGGTCCAAATATACCCAAGAACAACAGAATAATATCTTCCTTACTGGACAAGAACTGTATAAATGAAGAAGAATAAAAGTTCTTAGAAACAATCCATAAATACCTTAATCCTGAAAAATAGGAAACTAGATTGTACACACTTTTTCATTTTGAAAAAAAAGCAAAATATCGAAAAACTAAAATAATCGGATTGTAGATAATCGATTAAAGGATGATGTGTGCTAAATAAAAAAGAATGTTGTATGCTAAATTTCAGGCAATTCTGATGTGAGGTTATTTTTTTTTTTTTCCCAAAACGGATTTGGTAAAATCTGACAGATTTCACAGTCATTTACGCCCCCTTAATAGGGAATTCTTTTGGTACATTTAGTAGTGGGCAAGTGTATTTGTATCTTTTTCTTCTACTATGTAACAAACAATGATATCATTATTTCGTTTGCACTGGTTTTTTGGAAAAGAATTTGATTATAGCGTAGATGCAAAATAAATATGCTCGGTGTCACTCAAAAATAAAAATGTAGGAGAAATTCTTGGGAGCCCTGTAGGTCATTTCAGGTAATGAAGCAAAATTTTCACTAAGGGGAGTAGAAGATATTTTTGGGAGCTCCATAAGTTATTTCAGGTAATGGAGTAAAACTTGCCGATCATGAAGCAAAATGGAGCAAAACTCAGAGAATAAAATGAGCATTTGAAAATATTGAAATTTTCAGTGGGGGGGGGGGGGGAAGCTAGTGTTAATTTAGCCCCCCCCACTCAATAGGCCATATAGTCTCTCCACTGTAGTGGAGCAAAAATTATAATCAGTGGAGCAAAATGGGAGCGAAATTATGAGATGTTTCATTTAGAAAAAAATATTCAGTGGGGCGGGGCTAACTTAACTGACTCGTCTCGAGGATTCATTTCACTCACTAATGTGATTTTTATTTCTTCTAAAGTAATTCTTCTTGATCGATAAACAGGGTGTACAGGGTCGCCCGTTCAAGAGGAGCCTATACATTATCTTGAAATCTACAATGGCTATAAAAAAAAACATATGCAGCGCCGTACACGTGGTAGAAGTGAAACTTCTTGAAAACTATCTCATACAAATTTTAGACTTATCGTATGAGTCGGGGTAAAGATGAAAGGCATCTCTAGTGACGTCACAAAGGTATCGGTGCTTGACAATCATAGGAAATCCTCCTTGCGCTTTTAATCCTTGATTTGTGGCAATCAATGGCTGTTTTTCTCCGTTTCTAATATCATTTTTGATCATATTTTAATATTCTTAATATACTTACATAAATGTATAAATAACGAAAATAATCACAAAACACAATGATTTTTTTCCCCCTTATTCCAGCCCTGTCCGACTTATTGTCCCCATGCAACGCTGAATCCTAAGAAGGCTTATTTACACTTGGCCAAACATAAAACTGGTAGAGGCAATATATATTTTTTAGATTTACCTAGTGCGAGTCAGGCTTAACAACAAAAAGGCTCTTCTGAAAAACCTCAAAACTGAACAAAAGTAAATGCAACATATGTTTTATGTTATGATTGGTTTAAATATGACACTGACTTAGGGTTTCCATGAAGGTTTTTCGGAATTCAGGACAAAGAAATCAAGAAATCCGGACTTCGTCGAAATAACTTCTAATGCAACAAATGTTTAAAGTGAACCTTTTTTCACGAATGTGGATTTTGACAATCACATATTATAATATGTGTAAAATATGTGTAAAAAAACAATTTTTAACAAATACTTCATGCACTACACCTTTCCCATATGTATTTCAGATACCGTAATTTCAATTTCAGAAAACTTCAATTGTATTTCAGGTTACTTAATTTTATTTCGGAAAAAGTCAATTGTATTTCAAATCAGTTTACTTTATTTCGGAAAGCATCAAATGTATTACAGATTAGTTAATTTTATTTCGGAAAGCGTCAATTGTATTTTAGATTAGTTGATTGTATCTCAGAAAACGTGATTTATATTTCAGAATTTGTCAGATGTAGTTCAGAAATCATCAGTTGGATTTTAGATAATATTAGATATTTATTTTATTGGGAGTATAAAAAATACTATGTAATGTGACGCACATGAAAATTTGAACGCCGAGCCCAGGTATCTACGCAGATTTTCCCAAATCAACATAAGCTAGGTGTATAGGTGACCCATTATAAATTTTATTTAATACACTACATTGATGACATCTGAAATACATTTGACGAATTCTGAAATACAATTTACAATTTCTGATCTACAACTGACAGAGTTGAAATACAAATAACACTTTCTGAAATTAAACTTACACAACTGAAATAAAATTGACGCATTCTGAACTAGAATTGATGAATCTGGAATACAAGTGATACATTCTGAAATACTTATGGAAAAGGTGTAGTGCGTAAAGTATTTTCACTTTACGCACTAGTGCGTGAAGTAATTTACTTACTAGAAAAAAATGACAGTGTTGATATCTGTCATTGACTTGACTTACACTAGAGTGTAAAGTGAATTTTACTTTACGTACTAGTACGTAAAGTGAAATTACGCCTTTTTAATAGCTAGTGCGTAAAGTGAGTACTTTACGCACGGTAGTAGAAAAAAATAATTTAATTTTTTTATAAAGGATGAATTTTGTTTATTTTTTGCAAAAATACAAAATACATTTTTACAGACATTAATAAATAACCGTAACGATTAAAATATTTAACAAAGTTAGGTTGTTTCAACGATCTCCGAGTTTTCCGGACATTGTTCCGAATTCCGGCCGGACTTCCCCGGACACCCTGAAAACCCAAACATGTCCGGGTAAATCCGGACGTATGGAAACCCTACTGACTTGACTCTTTTTGTCATTGTTGAGGTGATAAAAAAAGGTCGATTTACACAATACAATACAATACAATAGGAAAATGCGTACCAGTTTTTTGATTGGCCAACTGTACTTAGCCTGTGTGATTTATTCCAACCACTCCAGTATTTTTGTGCCTTGTACGAGGTTGTACAGGTCTTTGACTGGGTGGCAGGGCCGGATCTAGGGGTGGGGGGGCGAACAGGGGCGCGTGCCCCCCTTCGCATCTTGAGGGGGCGGCAAAAAGAGAAGACACCTTGAAAGACACTGCCTTACTTTTTTTCATAAAACATACATATCTAGCGAATATTTTTTTCAAATTCATTATCTAATATTGTAACACATCTTCTGATAGAACAGCCGACCACCCCACAGTAGCCTTACTCAAGGCAAAGTTTGCTCTGTATAATACCGTACTCGAGTTCTGAGCTCAACTCTTTACTGGTGGGTTGGGTGTTGCGTTCCACGTTCCAGGGCTGGGATCACGACAAGTAGAATTCTATACTAGGATTTGGCGTTTCGAATATGAGGCAATTTTTCGCAAGTATAATCAAGCCTAATCTGATTATGCTGGGTTATGTGATGTGTCAATTGTGTCATACTCCCCTAACTTCCTCACCATCAAATTCTGGGCCTGCGAGTGACGTCACTATCAGCAGCTTATACTGATGACGTCAACCGCAGACATCTATGAAATGCTTGCGATTCAGGCTGTGCTAGTGACCTAATTTTTTCGTCAATTTTAAATGTAGAAAAGGTGATTTTCCGTCTGTCCTCACAGAAGTTCTTGATCCTTGGGTATCCCAGAATTTAATGGTGGGGGAGTTAGGGAAATATGAC